CTACTAAAAAAAAAAACACAAAAATTGTAACAGAAGTTATAGTTGACGGCGGTTTTTGCAAGCTGGGAGGGGGCCGTAGGGTCTGCAGTCATGAGGTTGATCAAGGTCAGTTACAAAGTCCAATGGCCTTATCAACTGAGGCGGGAATAAGGAGCCACAGAAGACTGTCTAAAGTTAATTAGGTGCTGCAGAGTTGGTCATTCTTCCCCTCTTCATGGTCTTCCAGTTATTTTAATTTAGATTTTCTGCTTCCAGGAGGCCATCCCAGGGTATCCTTGCCAGTCACGGGGGTCGTCATGGCTCCACCTAGGGTCTGGCCTATGGTGCAGCCATTCAAAGAAACTTGCGAATGCCAGTGGGTGCTGAGGTTGAGAAACCTGGACTCTTAAGCCTGTGCTTTTGGCCTAGAGGGTGGGATCTGTGTGCAGAAGAAAATGGAAAAGGGCCACCCCAAGGGCCTTGAGCGGGAAGGGGATGGGATTGCAATGCTTAGGGTAATAGAGAATTGGGGCTCCTGGTGAGGCATCTTTCTTCCAAGCTTGGCCCGGGCCCTGCTCCATTTCTCCCAGCCTTGCCAAGTCAGCCTAGGACTTCACACTAAGCTTGTCCTGGTGTGACCCCGACTCCCAACTCAGGGTTGGGGCAAATATTTACCTGGGTCTTCCTGCAGCACTTCCCAGCCTATGACACTGGCTTCTGCAGCCAACGTGTTCCTCCTGGAGTCCTTCAGCAGTTGCCCGTTAGCAATTAGGAGCCTTGCTCTGGGGGGTGGCTATGTGGGCAGGGCACCACTGAAAGCAAAAACAGAGCTGCTCAGGGAGCAGGTGGCAGCTGAGAACAGTTAGAAGTGGAGTGAATGGGCAAAACCAGGAGCATCCCATCAGCAGGCCCCTGTCCAGGGAGGAATAGAGCAACTCTGAAGCAGGAAAGGCCGCAAACAAGCCTCTGGAACACCAAACTGGGAAGGAAGTGGTGGTTTACTCGGCTGGGAGCTGAGGTGGGCCTGAATGCCCTAATAGCGCAGATCCTCAGCAAAGAAAATCCTTGCCCTTTTAAAGGCTTACAGCTCTAGAAATTACACGCGAAAGGGTCTTGATCCGTGAAGTAGGCGTGGGGTGTGTGACTTAGGTGGGTGTGTGATCATGTTTAAGCAAAAACAGTGTCTTCCAGAAAGATTTCTCCACACCATACCTGTGATGTATGGATGGGATGGTGGTTAGTGGTTAGCAGTGAGGGTTCTTATCCTTAACCTGGCTGGCGGCACCCACCAGTTGCTCCTCTGGCTGACTTCTAACTTCTTTTGAAATGTAATGCAGAGAGCTGAAGGGGAAAGGGCCTTAGAAGCAGAAGAGGCCCGGCGCGGTGGCTCACGCCTGTAATCCCAGCACTTTGGGAGGCCAAGGCGGGTGGATCACGAGGTCAAGAGATCAAGACCATCCTGGTCAACATGGTGAAACCCCATCTCTACTAAAACTACAAAAAATTAGCTGGGCATGGTGGCATGTGCCTAAAATCCCAGGTACTCAGGAGGCTGAGGGAGGAGAATTGCCTGAACCCAGGAGGCGGAGGTTGCGGTGAGCTGAGATCGCGCCATTGCAGTCCAGCCTGGGTAACAAGAGCAAAACTCCGTCTCAAAAAAAAAAAAAGCAGAAGAGGATTGGCGGTCTCCTTCCTCAACTCGAGTAGGAAGTGGGGGGGGGCACTGGCCTGGGAAGCAGCATTCTGAGCCGCTGGTTTACATCCCATAGGCATTCCTCCTCCCTAAGCTGGGTCCTCAGGTTCACAGCACCCTCCCCAGCCCCAGCCGCCATTCTGAACCTCCCCAATACTGGCCTCCCCCTCGACCAGGGAGAATCTAGCCCAGAGGGTCTGAACTGACAGTGCCAACAGGAAATAGGTCTTTCCAAGCCCAGAACCTCTGAAGCTCTGAGGAGCAGATGGGGGCTGGGGTTGGGGGAGACAATCTTGGAGTGATGGGGGAAAAGAAAGATTATACAAACAATCACATCCCCCATGTTCTTCTTTCCTTCGCCACCCATGGGGGTGGATCAGGGGATGGAGGAGGGTAAGCAAGGAGGAGGATGTGGTAACAGCTGATTCGTCCCAAGAGGTCACACTTTCCAACAATCAGCTGTTACTGGGGCGGGAGGCAGGAAGTTTCCTTAAAGGCGAAATGTTCTGAACGCAGGCTCAGAATTCTGGAGCTCCGAGGAACTTTATCAATTACCTGATGGAGAGAGTATTTATCAGAGGGAACGATCTCACCCTCCAGGCTCATCTCTCCTGCTCAGTTACTCTCAGACCCTCTTTGGAGCTTAAGGAAAAGTCACGGATTTCAGTCCACACGTTCCTCTTCGGGGGTCGCGGGGAGTGATGAGGTGGGGCAGGTCTCAGGCTTCCCCTTTAAAAAAGCGGACCAGCAGCTTTTGCCAAGTCATTGGGTTCATTTCAGTTTGTGCCCATCCCCCGCTCACCTAGACTCTGATTGGCCCCTGGGCAAGGAGCAGCCTGCTCATTGGTCTCCACCTTTGAAATCTCTTCCCTAAGTAGGCCTGAGTCAGTGAAGAGCTTTGGAGGGCGGGACTGAATAGGGGTTAATCAGAGGATGCGACTGCTGACCATTTGCAGTTTGGCATGGTCCATCCCCTAATTTCTGACCAGAAGCCCTCCCTCTACCTTAAGGTGAGGACTGTGCTATGAATCTTTTGTTAGAAAGCTACCTCTTGGGAGGCTGGAACTGGGAAGAGAGATCCAAGAAAAAAGCCTCCTCTGGTTAGGAAGGACTCCCAGGAGGAGCGGGCTGGGCTGGGCTGGGCGAGGTGGGCATCCGCCCTCCTCCATAAGCCACAGATTCTGCCGCCCTGGGCGCTGATGCTCTGCCCATTCCTGCTCTTGGGTCAGCTCCACCTTTCCTTAAAGAGCTAGAGCGTCCTGCGGAGGCCGGCGAGTCCGTTTGGGGGATGTCTAAAAGAAGCACTCACAGCTCCAACACAGAGGGGCAGTCGCCCTTTAAGGACTTCCCTGGGCTGGATTCCGAGCTCAGTTTAAAAATGCCAACTCACAGAGCGCGCTGGGTTCTGGGAATGAGGGTGTCGGGCTGCGAACTACACGGACCGGCATGCACTGCAAACGCAGACGCCGTGACTTCCGCCTGCTTTTTAGGAGTCTCGTTTGACGTAGCGCTTTTCTAAGCAGGTCGCTGACGCGAAAGGCTGGGCCACGACCTTCCGTCTATTGGCCGGCTCCGGAGTTTGTGGGCGTGGCTTGGTGCAATGCCGCCTGGCAAAGGGGTGGCCTCCTTGCCAATCAGAGCCGGGGCTCCCAGAGAGGCGGGATCAGGGCGAGGCCCCGGCGCCCCCCGGGTGGGCGTGGCCACGTTGCCCAACAGTGGGCAGTGATTGGCCCCGGACGGCTCTTTCGCAGCTTGTGCGTCACGACGCCGCCAGCTGATCGGAGCCTGGAGCCGGTGTGTGCTGGGCGCCGAGGAGAGACAGCGCCGCCGGCCGTGGGGAGCGGACGCAGTGATTTGCTCCTCTCCGCGCAGCAGCCCCCACACCCAGCACCAGGTGGGTGTGAGCTGACCATCCGGCCACGCAGGGGGAAGCCGCGGCTACGGGGTGGAGGGCGAAAGTAGGGTGCGGGCGGCCACACCCTGCCCTTCCTTGGAGGAGAGGGGGGCGGCGGAGGCAGGGGCGCTGCGGGGAGAGGGGCCTGGACTGGCAGGGCGAGTGTGTCAGGAGCGCCGAAGAAAGAGTCCGGGGTGGGAGTCGTGGCGGAAGGGCTGAAGGAGTAGCCGCCGGGGACGTGGGCGAAGCGCAGGGGCCGGAGGGCCGGGGGCGGCTCACCCGGCGCCCCCCGGCCTGAGGATACGGGAACCGGCCATCTAGCCTGGGGAGGGTCTGGACCTCCCGAACAGGAGGCGAGGAGGTTCTCTGCCGTTATCGGCGTTCACTGGGTCAGGGCCAGTTCAGCGCCGTGGCAGGGAAGGGGTCTCTGGGCGGGCCGGCCCCTCCTCTCGTTCCCTCCCGGGGATGTTATGTAAGGGGGGAGGGGAGGCGAGTAGGGGGCGGCGGTGCCGGGGCCTTATGCAACCCAAAGGTTAGGGTTTCACCGCGGTCGGGCGGGGGGAAGAGGGCAAGAGGAGGGCCTGGAAACTCTAACCCCCTCTCCCCAGACTAACTGGCTGTCTTGGGCCGAGAGAAGGTCACCTCTGCACCTCCCCCCAGCCTGTCCTGTCGTGAGGCCCCTAGCCCAGGCCTGGCCCCGACTGCCTGGGAAGCCGGCTGGCTGGGTGGGGCGCCTGGGTTAGTCATCACTGGGCTGCCTCTCTCCCCACCTCCTGGCCAACTCTTGGCCCCTCCCCATGGCCTAGGCTGTCGCCCCCACGTCCCTCCGGCCCTGGTTCCAGCCTCCAACTCTTTTGGCCTGTCATCCTGGCTGTCAGACTGGACTAGGAGCTGTCAGAGTGCCAGGGGTTTGATGGAGCAGCTGGTCAGAGGGTCAGTGCCCTGGGCCCACCCCACCCTGTAGCCAAGGGCACCTGCTTGGCACAGACTCTCAGCAGCTGCCGAGTCCTCTGGGCTGAACGGAGCCATCTCAGACAGAGGAAAGTCGGACAGAGTTGGACTGGTCACCTAGGGGAAGGAAGACACCACAAAGTGCACGCCTCCCAAGAGGGTTTCGGAATTTCAACCGCGCCCCGTATCCCCAAATCTTTCTTACACTCTGAGTGTAGAAATTCCAAGGCAAGACCGCCCGGACCCCTCTGCGCAGTGTGGGCCATGCCCTTGGACCGAGTGTCGGCACACACCCGCCCTCCCCAGCACATATCCCCTGAGCCTGCCACGCCCCCAGCCCCCTCCCTGGGCCATGCTGCAGGGCCCGGCTTTTCCTGCTGATTCATGCGTTGGAACTGTGGGGGCGGGGCTTGCAACTTGGAACAAAGTTCAGACATGGAGGGGCCGGCAGACAGCCTGGAATTCATACCAGATGTACCCGGAATGCGCAAGCGGAATGCCTGGCATCTGAGAGGCCTGGGGAAGCTGCCCAACCACCCTGCCTGTCCCTCCCTCCCCTCCAGCCTGTGGTCCCCTGTCCGCCCCCTCACAGCCCCAGGAGCCTCTGCTGACCTTCTTTCCAACGCTAGACTTCCTCCCTTCCTCGCTCTTCCCCAACCCAGGGCCCCAGCACTCTCCTTCCAGCTCAGCTCCCTGGGAACCGTCAGTTGGGCCGATCCCTGAACTTACGTTTCTGGACCTGAGGTACCACACATCTAGCACCTGGGTGCTAGTGGGGTGTGTACAGGGTCTCAGGCCCGGCCCTGCCTGAATGCTGAGGAGGCTGGGCCCTGGGGGCTGCTGGGGCAGGGGAGGGCAGAGCTGGACTGGGTTTGTGTAGACTCCAGTTCTGGAAAGAAGAGCAAGGGATCTGTTAGAGCTGCCTTTTGCCGCCCCCCGGAGTTAACAGCTTCTGCAGGCCCAGGTCAGAGCTGCAACCCTTCGCTAGAAGCTTGAAGGTCTGTCTGCTGGGTGGGACTCCGATGGCCAGTGGGTCAGTGACCCTGAACCGGCCTTGCTCACGTGGTTCCCGTTGTTCCTCCCTCTCCCTCTAGGAGCCGGCGCCTCTCACACCCTCACCTGGCTGAGCCGCAGTAGTTCTTCAGTGGCAAGCTTTATGTCCTGACCCCGCTAAAGCTGCCAGTTGAAGAACTGTTGCCCTCTGCCCCTGGCTTCGAGGAAGACAAAGAGGAGCTGCTTTCCCCAGCATCTGGAAGGTGACAGAACCAGGGCTGGGAAGGTCCGCACGGCAGGGTTGGTGATACATTTTGGGAAAGCTGGAGAGCCTTTGCCCAGATGGGCCCCCGCAAGGAGCAGTTTTAGATTAGCGACACTGGCTGGAGGAGGAGAAGGCTCAAACAACCCAAGGTTAGTTGGTCTTTGTGTGACAGTGGGAAGGTGTGGAAAAAAGAAGACTCTGTCTACCCGACTTCCTTCTTGATCCTCCTTCCTTATCTTCCATCCTTCCCCACTGGCCTTTCCAGATGGAGGTCCAAAAGTAAGTTCACTCTTCAGGGAAAAGTGACGCTAAAACTCGGGTGTGAGCAAGTATCCTTCTGCTCTTACTTTTTTTTTTTTTTTTACATGGAGTCTAGCTTTGTCGCTAGCTTGGAGTTCAGTGGCATGATTCCGGCTCGCTGCAACCTCCGTTTCCCAGGTTCAAGTGATTCTCCTGCCTCAGCCTCCCGAGTAGCTGGGACTGCAGGCACGCAGCACCACGCCCAGCTAATTTTTGTATTTTTGGTAGAGACGGGATTTCAGCATGTTGGCCAGGATGGTCTCAATCTCTTGACCTTGTGGTCTGCCTGCCTCGGCCTCCCACAGTGCTGGGATTACAAGTGTGAGCCACCATGCCTGACTTTCTTCTGCTCTTTCTTTTCCCTGCATTTCCTCAGGCTGTCCCAGACTCTAGACTTGTGGGCGTTTACCTGTATCTGGGACCCTTAGATCTCCTATCTGTTTCTCCACCTGTGAGATGGAGAGTCACACAGATGAGTGGGCATGAGGGAATCAAGCCCACCTTTGTAGATTCAGAACCTGGGCTCGCCTCCCCCTGTGGGTGGCAACAGAACACCTTTTTATATAAGCTGTTGTCCCTCCCGGATCCCTGACACCATCACCCAGGATCTGGGGAGTAATGGGGAGCTGGAGGAAGACACCACAAAGTTCACACCTCTGAAGAGGGTTTCGGAGTTTGGACTGCACCCTGTGCCCCCAATTTTTCTTACACTCTGAGTATAGAAATTCCAAGGCAAGACGGCCTGGGCCCTTATAGTTAGACAATTCCAAGGAGCTAGGAGAAGCTCATGAGGTCCCCCACGCAAGGGCGGCCCCATACTTCCCCTGCCATCCAGGGCAGGACAGCAGCCCCAGGGGGACTGTACCTGCTGCTGCTCTGCCGCTTTCCTCACTTTGCTCTCCCGGGTGGTATGCAGTCCCCAGCTCAGGCCTGTGCAGACAGGAAATTCTCCTCTCCAGCCAGCGGGGGAGATGGGTTATGCGATGTGACCTCCTGGGTTATCAGGCAGTGTGAACCTGCCACTTCCAGCTCTGATCCAGTCTCACTCAAGGGCTACAGGAAGCTGTGTGTTCGCTTTGGTGGGAGGAGAGGTGCAGGGAGCTCTGTCTTTTCCACCTGTGAAAAACTGAAGGATGTGGAGAAGAGTAGACCACAGAACCCTGCCTTTATGCAGCCGAGCTGAGGGCAGGCTGTGTGGGGGCAGTGTCGAGAGGGTGGATGGACTGGTAGGCTGCAGCAGAGGCCGCTCTGTCCCTGGACATTGCCTCCGTCCTTTCTTCTCGTTGCTTCACTGGCCACAGTGTCTCCCTCCAGCCCTCGACATGTTCTTCTACCATCATCACCTGTCATGGAGCAGAGGTGAGGAAAGGCAGCTTGGGAACACAGAGACCAGTGAGGGACCAGGCCTGGACAGCACAGGGTCCTCCCTGGGCATCCAACAGAGGCGCCCACAAAGGTCGGAGCACTCCAAGAGGAGGGAGGGAGCACAGCCAGCCTCCATCGACGGCAAGCCTCCAGCCCCTCCTACTTTGATCACTATTTCTTTCCAGTCTTTCTGCCTCTGACATGGGGCACAGTCGTGCAGGCTTCAGCGCCCTACTTCCTCCTCCCAGCCTGTAATGTTTATATAAGCAGCCTCAAGGACCAAGAGCCAGCAGTGGAAGGACACACACAAGAAATTCATAAAGGAAATTCAAATGGCTAAAACCCTGAACAAAATGTATGCTTCATTAGTAATTAAAGAAAAGCAAATAGAGCTGAAAGTGTTTTTCCCTTAGCAAACCATCACAAAAAAAATAAGACCCAGTACTGGCAAAGAAACTGCTAAAATAACATGCCCATACATTTCGTGTGGGAGGATAGATTGGTGCCGGCTTCTTGGATGGCAGTTTGGTGATATGTGCCATGTAGCCTAAAAGCTTCCATGTCCTTTGACCTACTAATTCTATTTTTGGGAATTTATCCTAAGAAAATAATTAAGGATTTAGTTAGTTATAAGATCATCCCAGGCTGGGCGCTGTGGCTCAAGCCTGTAATCCCAGCACTTTGGGAGGCCGAGGCGGGTGGATCACGAGGTCAAGAAATCGAGACCATCCTGGTCAACATGGTGAAACCCTGTCTACTAAAAATACAAAAAATTAGCTGGGCACGGTGGCGCATGCCTGTAATCCCAGCTACGCAGGAGGCTGAGGCAGGAGAATTGCCTGAACCCAGGAGGCAGAGGTTGCGGTGAGCCGAGATCGCGCCATTGCACTCCAGCCTGGGTAAGGAGCGAAACTCCATCTCAAAAAAAAAAAAAAAAGATCATCCCAGCGCTGCAATGGAGAAAAATGGAAAGCATTGGTGTGGTTGGGAATTCATTCCTTTTCTGCTGTAATGAAAGTTTGCAATAGGGGATTGCTTAAGTAAATGATTGTATATCCATCCAGATGGTGGAGTACTGCACACACACTAAAAGTCATGTAAAAGAACATCTGACAGAAAAACGTTCCTTGAATATTAAAGAGGTTGTAAAAATAGTGCATGTTATGTGATCTCAATTTTGTTTTTTAATATCTGGGTTTATACTTACTGTTTACATTGAACAGATAAAGACTGAAGGCATACTAAAAAATGTTTAGTGGTTATCTTTGGATAGTGGAATAAAATTGTGATTTTCACCTTTGGTTTTTCTGTAATTTCCAAATTTTTTACATGAATGGTGTATGACTTTCATATAATTTAAGAGATCAGTGTTATTATTTAAAGCTTTGGAGAAGTGGGTGTAGAAGAAGGAAGAGAAGACCTCAGCTTTCTGGTGAGGTTTGGTTGGGGTGCCTCCTGGTTGATGAAGTTCATTCTTGGAAGTAGCTGGAATCCTCCCTCAGCCTACAGGAAAACAGCGCTGTATTGCTGGCTGTTGGCCAGGTAAAGAGGGGTGGAGTGGGGTAGGTGGAAGGAAAGCACAGACCTGTAGCTCTTCAGGTGGTGAGGGGCTGGGGGGCTCTTCCTCTTAAGGCTGGGTGGAGGGTTCTAGAATCCTAACAGTCCTGCTACTGAAAGCAGGACAGCTCTCTCCTAACTGCCCCGGCCTTGAAGGGACCCTGCGTCATCTTTTCTTGCCCTCGGATTGAAAGGTATCCTACCCACCCACCTGGTACCAAAGCCCCTGGGGAAGGGGTGCTTTTCAGGACTCTGGTAGCCAGCGGTTCCCTTTTGCCTCCTCTTCCTGATAAGGCTCCTCTGTGGGGCCGAAAAAAATGCGGCGGGGCGGGGTGGGGTCCAGTGGGTCGCTTCTCCAACAGGGGGGCTCCTGAGGATTGTGGGGGCAAACTCCTGGAGTTAGAAGTTTGCTGGGTATGTTATAGGCCTGGAAACCTCAGGAGACAAGGGGTGGCTCCAAGAAAGCGCGGCGCCCAGTCCCCACCCCCGACGCTGGGAGGGAAGGGCGGGGCGGTGGCCAGGCTCGGGCAAACCTCCGCCTCCCAGGTGGCTGTGGCTGCTGATGACGCTCAGCAGGTGAAAGGCGCGGGAGTGGGGGAAGAGGAGGTCAAGGGTCGCGGGGTGGGGCCGGAAGTGTCAGGTGAGGTGGGACTGGAGACCCTGGTCTGCAGCACAGAGCGCTTCAGGACGCACGTGGCTCGGGAGGACGAGCTGCAGCGCTCGGTCTGGTGCCCGGAGCCCCCGAACCGCTCTCCCGAGCTGGGGCGGGACGGCGGCCCCGCGGTTGCTCCAATCACCGCCCGGCCCGAGGAACGGGGCGTGGACCCGGGGAAAAGTTCCTGCGGATCCCGAAGGCGGGGCGCGGGGGAGGGCGCCCCTAGCGCCCCTCCCTGCCCTTCCTGGTAGTGGGTTTCCAGTCCCCGCGGGGCCGGTGCTGCTTCCCGGCCGAGAGCGCGGGCGCCGAGGGGACCTACCCGGACCCTCTCGCCGGCCATTGCGCCCCCGGGGCTCCTCGTGACTGGCGTTCCGGGGGCTGCGGCTGCTGCCCAAGCCGGGACCCGCCGCTTGGGACGGCTGGCGGTGGCGGAACCTCTGCATGTCCTTGGTGCACAGCCTGCTGTCGGGGATCGCGGCGCTGCTTGGGTGCGGCTTTGGGGGTTCGAGGCGCACCGGGCGAGGGTGGGGGCGGAAGGCTGAGGTCGGGAGACCAGGAGTGGAGACTGGGCTGGGGGCGCGCGTGGCAGGAGGGCGGAGCCGGGGCTTCGGAGAGGCCGACCATGCCTCCCCCGTGTCCCCAGGCTGACCCTACACCCTTAGATGGCCGCCGACCCCATCCAGAGCCACCCGCGCTGGGCCCTGGTGCTGGTAGCGGTGTCTATAGGTGAGTCTGCTGGGAAGGCTGGAGGGTTAGGGGGAGGGGGCAGCCTCTGCCGTCCTTCTATGTCCCTTTCCCCCTCCCCCATGGAGGTTAAACGTTCCTGAAGGCTTTACCCAGGGAAACTTAAGAACTGGGAAGCGGGGGAGGCTGGAAATCCACTCTAAGCCACCCAGCTCTGGAGAAGCCTAAGCCCCCATCCCCTCGCCCAAAGGTTATTTCCTGGCCAATGGAGCTGACCTGCTGTGGAACCAGCCCCTGGGCAAGACGTGGGATCTCCTCTGTTATCACTTGGTGGTGAGACTCTGAGGGGAGAAGCCAGACAGGGGTGGGAGCCCTGTCCAGCCTGAGGTTCCCAATCTCTCTTCATTCCTTTTCTTTTTTTCTGAGATGGAGTCTCACTCCGTTGCCCAGGCTGGAGTGCAGTGGTGGGATCTCAACTCTGCAACTGTCGCCGCCAGGGTTCAAGTGATTCTCCTGCCTCAGCCTTCCATGTCGCTGGGATTACTGGTGCATACCACCATGACCAGCTAAGCTTTATATTTTTAGTAGAGACAGGGTTTTGTCATGTTGGCCAGGCTGGTCTCAAACTTCTGACCTCAGGTAATCTGGTATAGGGTGTGGGTATGGGGCATAGAACCCCAGGAATGGGAAGTTAAGGGGGTTGAGGGGGCGAGACAGCCTCTCCCTGGGCCAAGCCTCGTTCCATCTATGGAAGGGTTGGGTTTTTTGTTGTTTTTTTGAGACAGTGTCTCGCTCTGTCGCCCAGGCTGGAGTGCAATGTCATGATCTTGGCTCACCACAACCTCTGTCTCCTGGGTTCAAGCGATTCTGCTGCCTCAGCCTTCTGAGTAGCTGGAATTACAGGCATGTGCCACCATGCCCGGCTAATTTTGTAGTTTTAGCAGAGACAGGGTTTCTCTATGTTGGTCAGGCTGGTCTCGAACTGCTGACTTCAGGTGATCCGCCTGCCTCAGCCTCACAAAGTGCTGGGATGGCAGGTGTGAGCCACCACGCCTGGCCAGAAGTGTTATTTTAAGGCTGCTCAGGGCCCCAAGATAAGGGTAGGCATAAAGGTCAGGTGTTTGTGGAGTCCCACAAAATGCATGGAAGCCTCTTTCTGACGCCTTGGGCTATTGGGACATAGTGGCCAGCAGGTCTTGGGGTCCTCTGACCTCTGACCCTGGCTCCCAGGTAGTAAGCTGCCTCAGCACTGCTGTTCTGTCCAGCCAGTACATGGGCTTCCCCATGGTGTCTCTGCTGCTGGAGCTGAACTCTGCCTGCTTGCAACTGCGGAAGCTGCTGCTGCTGCTGCTGCTGCTGCTGCTTTCTCACCAGGCCCCGTCCCTGGCCTTCAGCATGACCAGCTGGGCCTCCTTGGCCACCCTGGCCCTCTTCCACCTGGTGCCGCTGGGGTTGATGAGTCTGTGGCTGCTCCAGCAGCGCCACTAGGTTCCTCTTGCTCTGGTCATCCTGGGTGGAGTTGGGCTGGCCACTGTGGACGTCATGAGCATCCTATTGGGTATCCGCATCCTCGTCAGTGACATTCTGCGGTTTCAACCCCATTCATCCATCCCCGGGCATGAGAAAACCAGGAGGACCAGGACATGTGGTGATGATGGACCCGTCACTAGGGACAGTTCCACTTTCAACCTGAAAGACTAGAGAGAAGCCATGGCCGCTACCTGGGGGAGATGAGGCCAGGGCCAGGGCCAGGAGATGACAGTCTTCAGTGCATAGTCCCCATCAGGGTGAGGCCCACTGACTATCAGCATCTCAGTGCATCTTCCCGCTAACTCACATCCCTTCCCCTTCTTAGGATCTAAGAAGAAATGCTGATGTTGGGCCAGGTGCGGTAGCTCACGCCTGTAATCCCAGCACTGTGGGAGGCTGAGGCCGGCGGATCACCTGAGGTCAGCAGATCAAGACCAGCCTGGCCAACATGGAGAAACCTTGTATCTACTAAAAATACAAAAATTATCTGGGCAAGGTGACTCACGCCTGTAATCCCAGCACTTTGGGAGGCTGAGGTGGGCAGATCACCTGAAGTCAGGAGTTCAAGACCAGCCTGGCCAATATGGTGAAACCCTGTCTCTGCTAAAAATACAAAACTTAGCCAGGCATGATGGCTCGAGCGTGTAGTCCCAGCTACTCAGGAGGCTGAGGCAGGAGAATGGCTTGAAACCAGGAGGCAGAGGTTGCAGGAGCCGAGACTGTACCACTGCACTCCAGCCTGGGCGATAGAGCAAGACTCCATCTCAAAAAAAAATAAACTGATGTTGGATGGGTGGGAACCTGGGTTTGTGTTCACTGAAATCCCTCATCAGATGAGGACCCTTTCCAGCAAATATACTCGAGAGGCACAGCTGGAGCTATTAATAAGGGGTGACAGGAGGCATGAAGCTAGAAGAAACTGCCAGTGGAGACAGAAGCTCTTTGCTTTAGCCGAGGGACAGATGAGGGAAGGCGAGGTCCTACTAGGACCAGTGAGATCTGGTATGGAGGGGCAGGGTCAGAGAGAAAACAGTCTCACCTATAACTGAACTCTGGCAGTGGGAGGAAGGCACAGGTGATACTATCTGTAGCCAGCGGAGATGGACGTGATAGTTGACAAGAGACAGAACCTGGACCACAGCAAATGCTGCTGATACTTCTGGTTCTCAAACCATGCTCCTGTTTGTTTGCTCTTTGAGATGGAGTCTTGCTCTGTAGCCCAGGCTGGAGTGCAGTGGCGTGATCTTGGCTCACTGCAACCTCCACCTCCTGGGTCCTGGTTCAAGCAATTCTCCTACCTCAGCCTTCCAAGTAGCTGGGATTACAGTCACGAACCACTGTGCCCAGCTAATTTTTGTATTTTTTAGTAGAGACAGGGTTTCACTGTGTTGGACAGTCTGCTTGTGAACTCCTGACCTCGTGATCCGCCCGCCTTAGCCTCCCAAAGTGCTGGGATTACAGGCGTGAGCCACCACACGCGGCTTTTTTTTTATTTGACAGAGTCACTCTGTCGCCCAGGCTGTAGTGTAGTGCCCCAATCTTGGCTCATTGCAACCTCTGCCTCCCGAGTTCAACCTCTGCCTCCCAGGTCCTGCCTTAGCCTCCCAAGTAGCTGGGGATTACAGGCACGTGCCACCAAGCCCAGCTAATTTTTGTATTTTTTAGTGGAGACGGTGTTTCGCTACGTTGCCCAGGCTGGTCTCGAACTCCTGACCTCAAGTGATGCGCCTGCGTTGGTCTCCCAAAATGCTGGGATTACAGGCGTGAACGACTGCGCCTGGCCCACACTCCTGTTTTTCTACTTAACCCTGGTCCTACTGTGTCTAGCCTTTTAATTTTTTTTTTTTTTTAGTATCTTTTGACTTTTTTTTTTTTTTGAGACAAGTTCTCCCTTTGTAGCCCAAGATGGAGTGCAATGGCTTGATTTCAGCTCACTGCAACCTCTGCCTCCCAGGCTCAAGCAATTCTCCTGTCTCCCGCTTCAGCCTCCCAAGTAGCTGGTACTACAGGTGCATGCCACTGCACCAGGCTAATTTTTGTGGGTTTTTCTTTTTTTGAGATGGAGTTTCACTCTTGTTGCCCAGACTGGAGTGCAGTGGCACGATCTCAGCTCACTGCAACCTCCACCTCTTGGGTTCAAGCGATTCTCCTGCCTCAGCCTCCCTAGTAGCTGGGACTACTGGTGAGTGCCACCATGCCTGGCTAATTTTTGCATTTTTAGTAGATTTTACCATACTAGCCAGGCTGGTCTTGCACTACTGAACTCAGGTAATCCGCCTGCCTTGGCCTCCCAAAGTGCTGGGATTACAGGCGTAAGCAACTGTGCCTGGCCTCTTTTGACTTTTCAAAGAAAATTCAGATTCTTAGAGAAATGAGCACAGGGTAGGTCTGTCTTAGTGCGGCGCTCAAGTACAGAGTCACAGAAAGAACTCCGAGCACCCACTCGGGTGCGCAGTATAGAGCCTTCCCAGGCCCAGGCTTTTGTGGACAAATGAGGTCAGAGGCAGAGCATGTGAGGGAAGGCTCCCATGCAGCTGCAGGATGTTAAAGGTATAGCTGGCCCTCTGGCTGGGTACGGTGGCTCATGCCTGTCAGCCCAGCACTTTGGGAGGCTGAGGCAGGTGGATCACAACGTCAAGAGATCAAGACCATCCTGGCCAACCTGGTGAAACCCCGTCTCTACTAAAAATACAAAAATTAGCTGAGTGTGGTGGCGAATGCCTGTAATCACCTGTAATCCCAGCTACTTAAGAGGCTGAGGCAGGAGAATCACTTGAACCTGGGAGGCGGAGGTTGCAGTGAGATCATGCCATTGTACTCCAGCCTGGTGACAGAGCGAGACTTCGTCTCAAAACAAAAAACAAAAAGAACCAGAAAAATAGAAATAAAGGGCAACGAGAAGAGACCCCTAGATGGAAGGCACAGAGGGTCTAGACAGTGACATAGTAAGAGTGAGTGACAAGGAGGAACAGCCGGGCTCAGGAGTGATGTAGGAAATCGTGGCAGATAGATCAGAAGAGCAAGGGGAGAGGCAGAAACAGAAGAGGGGGGATCAGTCTTGGGAGCAGAGAAGCTTCAGAAGGGCAGAAGGCTGAGGAGGCCGTCAGTGGGAAGATTCACAGACAGAAGAGACCAGGAGATATGGGAACTGGGAGACAGGCAGAACGACAAAGGACAAACAGCTACAGTGCAAAACGCAGAGATGGAGACTGACAGTATCTGGTAGGCAGAGGCTGGTAGGAAGATGAGGACAAGTCAGAATCAGGGATGTCACTAGATGGAAATGTAAGCAAAGGGGCTAACAAAGAATCACAGAAATAGGCCGGGCGTGGTGGCCCACGCCTATAATCCCAGCACTTTGGGAGGCCAAGGCGGGGCGGGTGGAACATGAGGTCAAGAGATCAAGACCATCCTGGTCAACAAGGTGAAACCCCGCCTCTACTAAACATACAAAAAATTAGCTGGGCATGGTGGTGCGCGCCTGTAGTCCCAGCTACTCGGGAGGCTGAGGCAGGAGAATTGCTTGAACCCAGAAGGTGGAGGTTGTGGTGAGCCGAGATCGTGCCATTGCACTCCAGCCTGGGTAACAACAGTGAAACTCCCTCTCAAAAAAAAAAAAAAGAATCACAGAAATAAAAGGAGGAGAGCACAGAACAATTAATTATAGATCCAGGCCAGGCGTGGTGGCTCACGTCTGTAATCCCAGCACTTTGGGAGGCTGAGGTAGGAGATTGCACCACCGCACTCCAGCCTGGGAGACTGAGTGTGCCTTTGTCTAAAAAATAAAAAAATAAAAAAAAGCGAAACTCCATCTCAAAATAAAAGAAAAAACAAATACAAAAAAAAAAAAAGGTTCAGAGAGGTCAAATACTTTACCCTAGTTAGTGATAGGACTAACTAGGGTACATGAGTCAAACTCATGTTCTTTTTTTTTGTCTTATACCACCTGTGACCCACATCTGTCATTTTGCGTGCCTGACATTGAAGGAATTTTCCTTTGAAAACCACCCCCTTTTTTTTTTTTTCTAATTTGAGGCAGAGTATCTGTCGCCAGGCTGGAGTGCAGTGGCACAATCTCAGCTCACTGAAATCTCCACCTCCCATGTTCAAGCAATTCTCCTGCCTCAGCCTCCTGAGTAGCTGGGATTATAGGCATGCACCACCACACCCAGCTAATTTTTTCTATGTTTAGTAGAGACGGGGTTTCACCATGTTGGCCAGAATGGTCTTGATCTCCCGTCCTCGTGATCCGCCCACCTTGGCCTCCCAAAGTGCTGGAATTACAGGCGTGAGCCACCGCAACCAGCTTAAAACCACCCTTTTCTCACTGCACTGCAGATGGGCATATGACCCAGGCAGAGTCAGCTGGAACACCGTATTCGCTTTCACTGAACTGAGCTCATGACGTGAGGAGAGACTGTGACTTCTGCTAGAGTTTTGGCCAAGATGCACCTTAGTTGTTCTGACCTTGCTAATCCAGATGTAAGAGTGCTTCCCTGGGCATGAAGCCAACACAGAAAAACAAGACTCAAAAGATGGAGGCTGGGAGAGGTGGCTCACACATATCATCCAGCACTTTGGGAGGCAGAGGCGGGTGGATCATAGGTCAGGAGTTCGAGAGCAGCCTCACCAACATGGTTAAACCCCTGTCTCTAGTGAAAATACAAAAATTAGCCAGGCATGGTGGTGGGTGCCTGTAATCCCAGCTGCTGGGGAGGCTCAGGTAGGCGAATCACTTGAACCCAGGAGGCAGAGGTTGCAGTGAGCTGAGATTGCACTACTGCACTCCAGTCTGGTGGCAGAACGAGACTCCATCTTTTTTTTTTTTTTTTGAGTCGGAGTTTCACTCTTGTTTACCCAGGCTGGAGTGCAATGGCACGGTCTCGGCTCACCGCAACCTCCACCTCCTGGGTTCAGGCAATTCTCCTGCCTCAGCCTGCTGAGTAGCTAGGATTACAGGCACGCGCCACCATGCCCAGCTAATTTTTTTGTATTTTTAGTAGAGACGGGGTTTCACCACGTTGACCAGGATGGTCTCGATCTCTTGACCTCGTGATCCACCCGCCTCGGCCTCCCAAGTGCTGGGATTACAGGCTTGAGCCACCACGCCCAGCCCTCGGACTCCATCTTAAAACAAAAAGGGCCAGCTGAGTGGCTTGTAATTCCAGCACTTTGGGAGGCGGAGAAGGCAGACCACCTAAGGTTGGATGTTTGAGACCAGCCTGACCAACATGGAGAAACCCTGTCTCTGCTAAAAATACAAAAAAATTAGCTGAGTGTGATGGCGGATGCCTGTAATCCTAGCTACTCGGGACGCTGAGGCAGGAGAATCGCTTGAACCTAAGAGGTGGAGGCTGCAGTGAGCTGAGATCCTGCTGCTGCACTCCAGCCTGGGTGACAGAGCAAGGCTCGGGGTCGGGGGGCCAGGCGCGGTGGCTAACGTCTATAATCCCAGCACTTTGGGGAGTCCGAGGCAGGTGGATCATGAGGTCAAGAGATCAAGACCATCCTGATCAACATGGTGAAACCCTGTCTCTACCAAAAATACAAAAAATTAGCTGGGTGTGGTGGTGCATGCCTGTAACCCCAGCCTCTCAGGAGGCTGAGGCAGGAGAATTGCTTGAACCCAGGAGGCGGAGGTTGTGGTTAGCCGAGATTGAGCCATTGCACTCCAGCCTGGGTAACAAGAGCAAAACTCCGTCTCAAAAAAAAAAAAAAAAAAGGAAAGGAAAAGATTATGCAGTCTCGTATTTTCATTTTGCAGGGAATTGAAGGAACTGAAGCCTAGAGAGGCTTAGTGACTTCTCCAAGCACACTCAGTGGGTTCATCACACAGCCAGCATGGAAATCCAGGTCTTTGCTTTGGTTCAGGGCTCCTTCCTATACACTTATTTTGCCTCTTTCTTTATAGAAAGGCTGCGGGGTGGAGAAATTTCAAGGTAGAAAGGTAGGAGTCAGCTGACAGCTAAACATTCATCAAGTCAGATAAATTGCCTCTGAAGTGATATTTGTAAGTCAAGGTGTTTCAGTTTAAAGCCAGACTCCTGTTCGTCAAGTATTGATTTCTGCACTTTTCAGGAATAACTGTGGAGGGCAGAGGTTCATTTCAGCTTTACTCTGTAGACATGAACATCACTTAGCTTGGTACTGTGGAACATATTCTTTCCTTGCTTCTAATTTGACAGAAGCCAAGACACCTCTTCCACGCCTTTTGCAGGACCTGGACAGGGAGTGAGCTTTTTATTATTTAATTTATATTTTTTAGACAAAGTCTCACTCTGTCGCCAGGCTGGAGTGCAGTGACGCAATCTTGGCTCACTGCAACAGCCAACTCCTGGGTTCAAGCAATTCTGCCTCAGCCTCCTGAGTAGCTGTGTTTATAGGTGCGCCACCATGCCCAGCTAATTTTTATTTTTTAGTAGAGACGGGGTTTCACCATGTTGGCCGGGATGGTCTCGATCTCCTGACCTTGTGATCCACCTGTCTCGGCCTCCCAAAGTGCTGGGATTACAGGTGTGAGCCACAGAGATGAGGATACAAGCCATGCAGGCTTTGGAAGTAGAATAGTAGGCCTTCCAGGAGAATCTCTGGAAAGGGCTCCCTGAGTACCCACCCCGCTAGAAAGAGACCCTGGAGTTGCGTCTGACATTCCAGAGAGAGTAAATAATTTATTTCTTTTAAAAAAAAAAATAGAGATGGGGTTTCCCCATGTTGGTCAGGCTGGTCTCGAGCTCCCAACCTCAGGTGATTGATCTGCCTCGGCTTCCCAAAGTTCTGGGATTACAGGAGTGAGCCACTGCGCCTGGCCTTCTTTTTTTCCTTGTTAAGTTTTTTTTTTTGAGGTGGAGTTTTGCTTTTGTTGCCTAGGCTGGAATGCATTGCCACAATCTCAGCCCACTGCAACCTCCGCCTCCCAGGTTCCAGCAATTCCCCTGCCTCCGCTTCTGGAGTAGCTGGGATTACAGGCGCCTGCTAACATGCACAGTTAATTTTTTTTTTTTTTTTTTTTTTGTATTTTTAGTAGTGACAGGGTTTCACCATGTTGGTCAGTTAGTAGTGACGGTTTCACCATGTTGGTCAGGCTGGTCTCGAACTTCCGACCTCAGGTGATCCATCTGCCTCAGCCTTCCAAAGTGCTAGGATTACAGGCATGAGCCACCTTGCCCGGCCTTCTTTTTTTTCTTAAGTGTTTTTTCTTCTTTTTTTTCAGGAGAGAGCTGGAGTATGTTGTTTTGTTTTGTTTTGTTTTTTTGAGATGGAGTTTTACTTTTGTTCCCAGGTTAGACTGCAATGGCGTGATCTCAGCTTACCGCAACCTCCAGCTCCCGGGTTCCAGCAATTCCCCTGCCTCAGCTTCCTGAGTAGCTGGGATTACAGGTGCCTGCCACCATGCACAGTTTTTTTTGTTGTTGTTGTTGTTTTTTTTGTATTTTTAGTAGTGACAGAGTTTCACCATGTTGGCCAGGCTGGTCTTGAACTCCTGACCTCAGGTGATCCACCTGCCTTGGCCTCCCAAAGTGCTGGGATTACAGGCGTGAACCATGTGCCCAGCCCATAAATAATTTCTTTAGCGTAAGCTTTGCCCCCTCACTCTGGCCTTCCAGTGTGTGCCCTTAAGAAGACTCCTTCATCTCCTCAACCTTCACTTGGTTGGCATTGCTAACCCTGGGGCCTGAGAGGCTGGCATGGCAGCTCTCTCTGCCCCAGGTCCTAGGTTGGGGCCAGCGAGAAGACAGCAGAGAAGGCTGCAGAACTGGAGAGCCACAGATTTCTGCTGCACCGACACAGGCCAGCCCCGCTACCGAGCTCTTCACTTGCTCCCTCAGCAGCTTGTGAAAACATTGTTCTCTGAAACTCCTGCCCTTCCTTCCCAGCCCCAACTGTGTGGAATCCAAATATTTCCACCTTGACAGCAAACGAGTGGAGTGCTGGGGAAATGGGGGAGATGAGGGAGGGAAACAGGGGAACAGTCTAGGGTGGCTGCAGCAGTATTTCCTCAAAATATATTCAATCTAAAAATTCATATGAGGCTGGTTGTGGTGGCTCACACCTGTAATCCCAGCACTTTGGGAGGCTGAGGTGGGTGGATCACCAGACGTCAAGAGTTCGAGACCAGCTGGGTCAACATGGCAAAATTCTGTCTCTACCAAAAACACAAAAATTAGCTGGGCATGGTGGCAGGCTCCTGTAATCCCAGCTATTAGGGAGGCTGAGGCAGGAGAATCACTTGAACCTAGGAGGCAGTGGTTGCAGTGAGCAAAGATCATGCCACTGTACTCCAGCCTGAGTGACAGAGTGAGACTCTGTCTCAAAAAAAGAAAGAAAGAAAAAAATCACATGAACTTTGCATTCTGCTTCAAAATCTATATCTGTTTAAAATAAAATACTGGCCAGTCTCGGTGACTCACACCTGTAATCCTATCACTTTGGGAGGCCAAGGCAGGCAGATCACGGGGTCAGGAGTTCAAAACCAGCCTAGCGAAGATGGTGAAAATCCGTCTCTTCTAAAAGTACAAAAATTAGTCCAGTGTACTGGCAGGCAACTAATCCCAGCTACTTGGGAGGCTGAGGCAGGAGAATTGCTTAAACCCAGGAGGCAGAGGTTGCAGTAAGCTGAGATCACACCACTGCACTGCAGCCTGGGTGACAGAGTAAGACTGTGTCTCAAAATAAATAAACTAAATACTATAAATAACTAATAAAAAAAGATAAAAATAAATAAACTAAGATAAATAAAATAAAATACTGGCCAGTCGCAGTGGCTCATGCCTGTAATCCCAACACTTTGGGAGGTCAAGGCAGGAAGATCACTTAAGTCTAGAAAGTTGAGAGCAGCCTGGGAAACATAGTGA